GCCTCTGCAATTTTGTTCTACAGCAAAAGTCTGATCCGAGATCTAGAAAAAGATATCAAAATGATCCCTGAAATTATGCAATCAAAGCCCGATCGCATCGTGGTCACGGAAATGTTTCATGTCAAAGCGTGGCAGGAAATCCATCGGGGTGGCGGCCGAAAAGAATTGTATATTAATGTCTTTTATGTTTCTGTCGGACCTATGGCACAGCGGATGACCTAGAAGGGGCTGGTAGATTGACTGGATGATCAGATACGAGAAAGAAATCTATTTGCTAAGTTCGAATAGAAAGGTCCATTTTGAAGACTTTTGATCGTATGTATCATAACCGAGAGAGTAGGCTGCGGTAAAAGTTATGGGAAAGAATCATGCATGCCCTGCCGTGGTAAAAAGTACTGAACTTACCGAACTCGGTTTGATGGCATAGCTAGCCCGGTGGCTATTATTTCCTATGCAGCGAAGGCAGTGCCCAAAAATACTTCTCTGTGGCGAGACTGAGAACCTCTTTCCACAATCACAACGTTTCAAACTTTGGCCTCCCTGCGGGGGCTGAGAGGGGCCGAGATATGTGTTTGTGTATCATTAGTTGCTGCACTGGTGAAATCAGTTCAAGTCTCAACGGCATAGTGCTAGGTGAATCATCACTGAATGATCTAAATTATGATCCATCACCATCTAATTTCAAAATCTGGTTTGGAGAACCGCATAGCTGCATAGCTCGGCGTGATTGCTTTTCTCTCGATATCATCTTACAAAGAAATGTCTTGGTTGATTTTTTTTACACTACATCACCCCCCCTATACAAGACTTTGGATGGCCAACTTGTCCATCCCAGCTTCGCCGCATTGCTTTCAGGCCCGTTCTGTATTCACGACTACGAAAAAATGGATCTCGATGGCAAACCATTGTACAGACACTCAAAGCTCGACTTCAATCGCTTCCGTAAAAAGCCCGTCGGTATGTGATATCTGATTCCGGCTATGGCAAACATCAATGCTAATCCTGATCAAGACAAGCCTCTATCTCCGATGCATCGCTCCTCTGAAGCCTTTGTGAACCGGCTCCCTTTTCTATATTCGAAAACCGAGGAGATTGTCTGGAAATGGGAGCAGTCCAAGCTCTGTGGCCAGAGCATCAACACTACCCTGCAATCCACCATCATGCCACAGGATCACCCTTCCAACAGACCTAACAGGGCAGACAGATTCGTTTCTATGCTGAATGGGAGTATCGTCGTGAAGCCTCCGGCCTACCTGACGAATCTGAAGCCGGAGGATTATCAGGTGGGATTTCTGCATACAGAAAACCTGACAGATATGAAGATCATTCTCCTTGGGCTACCCGAATGGAAAAGACCTTCCAAAGTCCGGGAAAGCATGCTTAGTTTTGAGAAATTGCTGGCCGGGAAAAGTTTTCCACTCTTCTACAATTGGTCAACCGAGTACTGGATCTCAGATTCGGTCATTCTCGATCCACGGTCAACCAATGAAACTGAGATGATCAGTAAGGGAAAACGGACGGCAAGTAGTCAAGATTTGAGGTACCTTTGCGCTGGCCTTCCATCAACCACGATAGGGCCTCTTTTCAACACGCTTGTGACCTCGGGAATGCAGACCCAGCCTGCTTTGAGTATTCGATGGGGTTCATTTGGATTCATGCGTCGATAGATGGGAGGAACTTCGAGATAGAGCTTGACACCTCTATCGATCCGTCTTGCGATCGCGTTGATTACATGCTACAACAGATGAGAGAGAGGTCGTGGTTGGTTCAGGCAAAGCTAGCGATCAAGCTCGAGAGGTCCAGCAGGGTGAAAGCCGCTATCTCGGTTCAGGTTTTGGGCGTTTCTCAAGTTCGCGTCACTTCTACTCATAAACCAATCACTCATCATTAGGATGTATTTCAAAGCAAGGTGCCATGCTTTTCGCCTGGGCCATGCTATTTGTGTCAAAATATCTCTTCAAATTCCATAATCTTTCGTGTAAAATCAAAGAATAATTACGTCATTCGCGTCGCGTTGCCTACCGAAGGGACGAATTGGTATATAGACTCGGCCACTGAGTAATGATTTACCTCTGTGCAACACGAAACATGACTCGGCGGTTAGGTATATTCATCAAAGGTACATTTAAAAAGCCTTTGCTGTATTCGCAGAAGACGGACTTATTGTGTACCACGTATAGAAAGCACAAGAGTAATCCTAGTCCGAACATTCAACAGCTGCTAATCGTAAGAAAGGCAAGAGGGTACTCAGCATAAGAGAGCTCATATGGCGAATACTCGATGAACTTTTGCATAGATAATGTCTTCAGAGGCCCCCGAGCCTGTCGATTTCATCCCCGCTGCGACTGCCGGGTCCGCACCGTCTTCTGCTCCGGCCCATCTGGCGTATCAGTCATATCGCTCTTCATCCGCTCCTCTACTTCCGCCTCGACAGCCTTCAGCCGGTGGAGAAGGTCTGCCAGGTCATTGCGGAGATCCTCGATACACTTGCTTTGGTCCGTCAATTTACAATCTAGGGACCTGGCCTTAGGTTAGCCCTTTGTCCATTGCTTGGAGGGAATGTAAAACTCACTTCACCCGCACGTCTAGTCTTGAAGTAACATCTGTTAGTAAGCACTTTGCTTTCACGATAAGAGATGACTCGGACTAACTCTGCGAGGCATGTGAGGGTAAGCATGTTGCTATCTCTGGGCTGAGATAAGAGTTCGCCGTATTGAGGACTCGGAAGCACCCCGTGATCGTGGGTACTGGGAGGATCGCCCAGTTGCGGAACAGCTTTGTGGTTCTTGTTCGAGGGGGTCGATGGCTCTTCCTCGGTAGTGTCTCCAGACAGAGATTGAGATGGACTTCGGGTGTATTCGGGCTCCGAGGATGACAAGGACAGTGCGCGCTGCAATCGACGTCGGAAGTCTGGCATCTGCCGGGTGCGTGGAATTTTTCGAATGGCTCCCATAGTTGTGTATCGAATCAAGCGGGGTGTTGCCGACAAATAGACCTGTTTTAAGATATGACGGGAGTGGCTCTTATATGATTCGTGACGGGTGACACTCTATATATGTGAAAATAGATTCGGCGAGCAAATGGTCGCAGTGGAAGAGGCCATCACCCTGAGCCCCGGCCAGCCATATCTGGCCTCACATCGTGAAAATTCAAAGCGGGGCCCAATAAGCATTTGGCCACACTTCAGCGGAGTGTCAACGGGACAAACGTTGACTAACAAGCTATCTGCACGAAGCGAACGTCCCAACCCGCGGCTTGCAGAAAGTTGGATTCGCGGTTGGAGTTGCAAGTCAGCGCCCAGCGATTGGTGCCGCAAAGCTGTCACTTTCAATGTGTCCTACTAGCAAAGATTCATCAAATTTCTTCATCGAGAAAGGAATAAAACTACGTGTCGCCCGATGCTTTGTAGAGGGCATTGGAAAGTGGGTTAAAAAAGTGAACAAAGCCATGCCTGTCTATGAAATCGTGTAGATTGGGTGAGGTTCGATCAAGCACCGAGGGGTTCTTCATTTTCGTCATCGGGGGTGTATTTGTTACGCCAACCATACAATGAGGTATAGGAGATGGGGAGGAGGTGCCTATCCACCACCGGAGCCGCTTGTTGATACATCACCTCGCTTACCTGCCTGCATACGCACACAGGCATCCCCTTAAAAGGAGGAGCTGGATCCTCTTAGGAGGACCAGCGATTAGTCTGAATATCATCATACCCATATCAGGCATATCTCACATTCTTCACTTGTATCCTTATCGTATCAGGACGCCCTCCGGGGATTGCCCTAACAGTATTACGACCATGGCCGTACATGTATTTGATTAGCTGCTTCTGATTTTTACCACGCTTTATCATGAATTACTTTGCAAATTCTTACTCTCTTTCAATATTCGCATGTATGCGGCAAGACAGGCAGGCCAGTAATCAACGCAGCCTTGTCTCATTATTGGCGAATGGGCCTTGCAAACTCTTTACAGCAATACCTTCAAGAACCGGATGAGCCTGTTCAACACCCAGCGGTATGCCTGGAGCCATTATGCTTCCGGTGGCTCTTTCTGGAATATCAAGCATAACAGCAGCTCTGCTGTTGATGGCCAGGGTACTCAGAGGGATTACTGGTCCTATGAGCGTCTTATTGATACTGGTATCATCCACACGCCACTTTCTAATTCTACCTACTGCAGATATATTTATTATTTCTGCGGCTATATCATATATAGACCAAAAAATATGATTGACTGTATTCATTTTAATTGTTTTGTACACCATCTAAGAGATCTCTTATCTCCTTCTGTAACGAACTGAGGTACCTAATAACACGTCTCTGCATAGGCCACAAACTGGTTCTGTGCCTACCACAAGCGCATTAGCCATACTTACGAAGATCAGTTCATATATGGCGCACAAGAAACCACCTTTGTGCTAGTATATTATCCAAACTTAAGGGTGCCTCGAAGAGAGTTAAGAAAAGAGGTCAAAGACACATTTAACAGCGTGTCAAGTCTGCTAGGAGGTTCAAAACAAGGCGAGAAGGGTTAGCCAAACACTATCTCGCGGGCTAGGACAGTCTAGGTCGTGCTGGACTTCGCCGAGGCGCCACAACGGTTTCGCAGTCACGCGCCACGGGAGCAGCCTAACAATGGGGCGGCGATTAGGCCACGGCAGGCTTTGACGAGCCCTGGAGGCTCTAGGCTCGTTTTCAGGAAGTAAGTCCCTTCTACATATACGTACCTAGTGGTGAGTCCACATGTAAAGTCCGAGCTTTTCTTGCGTCGTTCAAGCCGCTGATCCTCCTCAGCATAAAGCTGTTCGCGAAGACTATCGGGAATGTCGTCATTTTTTTTCGATAACCTCTCCCTGCTGCACGTATCTGGTGAGGATCTTCAAGTGGTCTCATATCACAGCAACATTATTTTAGGGTGTCTTCCTTATGGAGAAAGTTCCGGACCCGGTGAAGCTCTTCAGAAAGGTTGGAAAGATAGTCTCAATTATTTATTCGTGGAGATCATTTGAACTGGAGGTATTTATGAAGTTTCCTCTTCAGCACCTCCAGAAGAACGGGTTTTGCAAGGTAGTCGTTCATTCCCGCAGCCAAGCACTTCTCTCGATCACCCTGGATCGCCGAAGCTGTGAGAGCGATAACCAAGATTCGCCTCACAGCATCCACGGCATCGTTGCGTAACTGGCGGGTGGCAGTATATCCATCCATGACGGGCATCTGGACATCCATCAAGATCATGTGGTACGGTTGCTCTGCACTGGCCTTCTTCAGAATGCCCTCCACGGCCTCTAGGCCGTTGTTGAAGGCATCTACCTGGGAAAATCCTAGCTTCTTGAGAAATTGTACCGTTATTTTCTGGTTGATGAGGTTATCCTCCGCGATGCAGACGCGAAGGTCGGCGAGGGGAATTTCGGATAGATCAATGCAATCTGCGGCTGCGTTATCGGGCAGACCTGTCGACCCGTCAGTCAACTCTGTTGGAGCTGCAGTCCCCAAATCCTCAGGATTGGCTTTTTGCACGGATATTGAGAAATTAATAGTTGTGCCGGCATTTTCGACGCTCTTGAGCTCAATGGTGCCCTCCATCAGTTCTACCAGTGATTTGCAGATACTGAGGCCCAAACCACTGCCTCCGAACCGGCGCGCGGTACTGGCATCAGCTTGGGTGAAAGGCTTAAATAGATGCTGTGTGAGGTGTGTTGGGATGCCAATTCCTGTGTCCTTTACCCAAAAGGAGAGACGAACGGTGTTCTCGTTTTCATCTTCGACCCTGGATCCAATCGTGATGGACCCCTTTTCGGTGAATTTCAGGCTGTTACCGAATAGGTTGCCCAAAACCTGCTTCAGGCGTACGGGGTCGCCATATACGCGGTATTGGGGCGCGTGGATATCCTGGATGATGCGGAGATTTTTAGACCATTGCTTGCTCCCGAAATCGGTCGCCATCGAGCGAACAACTTCCTGAACGATCTCCTTGACATCAAAGGACACCTTATGCAACTGCACTTTGTTCGCTTCGACTTTGGAAAAGTCGAGAATATCATTGATTACAGAAAGCAGGAGTTCCGCTGATATGCGAATTGAGTCTGCCATTTCCAACTGCTGCTCCGGGAGTGGACTGCTGAGTAGAAGCTCCGAATTTCCAATAACCCCATTAAGGGGAGTTCGTAGCTCATGAGAGATATTGGCGAGAAAGACACTTTTAGCCCTGGCGGCCTGTTCGGCCAGCTGGGCAAGACGCATGGCCTCCGCCTTCGCAGTGTTCGCGTTTTGCTCGGCCTTCATCGCTTCTGCCAACGCCTTCTTTTGCACCTCCACCATGGATTGGTTGATGGTGGATACCCGTTCGACTTCTTTAAGGGTTAGCGCGTTGGAGTAGCTAATTCCAAGTTGGACGACGAGCAGCTGTAAAACGACCCGGTTGCGATACGAGAACGCGTTGGGCAGTCCCTCCAGATAGAGCACCGCAAGGGGTTGGCTCTCACTACTGCCGTGAGAAATGGGCAGCGCCATAACCGATTTGCTAACCGGGTTCTGAGCCAACCACACTTCACTAACGTAGCTAAACCGCGGTTCCTGTAAGACGTCTGGCAAATAAACGGCTTCGCGAAAGCGCACACAGTAGTTCACGATGCTTTCCGCGACAAGGTTGGAGTGTTCAATCGGTGTGGGAGGATCATGTATTTTGATGTGTCCAGCTGCGTCGCCACTTGCTGCCACGGCCCAACCGACGGTCGTATCCGCCCCCGTGATGATTGCCGCTAAGGTAGCAACGTCATCGCAGCTCTGCATAATGACCTTGCACATTGTCCGGAGCAGCTCGTCAATCCTTAGAACGCTCGATATCACCTGTGACCCTTCAAGAATAGAGGCGAGGTCCAAGATATGTAGGGAACGCTCTGCCACTGACTCTTCCGCGCTCGGGGTTTCATCGTTGCCAGGAGCGGCTACCTTTGGGTGAATCTGTAGAATACTGTCATCTAATTCAGTTTGAGTAGCGGCTTCTCGTGTTACATCCTTTACCGGCTGCTCCAGATCAAAGAGATGCAGGATGTGTTCAGCCACCCCAGTCGCCCCCATCCGACGGTAGAGACCAGCTGCCTCTTTCAGAGTGAGTGCTCCCAGTCGCAAAGAGCCCTCACGCATCAGATGTCCAGCTAACAGATGGTGAGCCAGGGCTTCCTCCAAAGCAAAGCCATGCACAGAAGCGTGGTCCAATGCCTCTTGATAGAGACAAAGAGCAGCCATATGGTCATGCTCCATCTCAGCGATCTGAGCGCCGAGAATTCTAGTCCACGCCAGATAGTTCACGTCCGTGACGACCTGCCACTGTTCAATCTTACGCTTGAAATACATCAACATCTTCGCCAGGCCGCTCATCTCCTCCTCGAGAGAGGCCTCGAGGGATCGCCCATTGACATCGGATGCCAGCTGAGGAGAGCATGCGCGATACGCGGGGTTGAGTTGCTGTTCTTTTCGGGCCCACACACATCCAGCTAGAGAAAGGGAATGAAAGAACATGAGGAATCGCGTGTTTCGTGCAGACCATATGGCATTGACTTTCTTCAGGCAGGAATTCCCCAGTACAACCGCTCGCTCGTAGTGGCCGTACAAAAATAAAGGAGCAATTTCAATGCTCTCATAGAGCATTAGCGGCCGGTCGCTATTCTTGAAGGTTCTTACTAGCCAAGCCTTGTATGCGGTGGAATTGTGTTCGTTGTCACTCATCACCCCTACCGCGTCATGCTTATGTGTTTTACCTTGCAAAGCACGGCAGAGCTGGCGAATTGTGATGAGGATCGTACCACCGGGCGTATCCAACTGCCAGTTAGCAATGTCCTGACAGCTGTAAACACAGAAATTTTCCAGCTCGGCCAGGTTCTCCGAGGCAAAAAATTTCGAGGTGGCCAGTAGCCCGTAGTTCAAGATGGTCAGGCTTCGGTCACCAGAGTGGATTGCGGATTCCAAAGCCTTTTCCAAGTGACAGATTGAAGACTGAATGTGATGTTGAATGTGATCGACAAAAGTCGAATGTAACGCGAGGCCACGACCCTCCGTAAGTGGGTCTTGCGACTGATTAATTAAGGCTAGAGCAAGATCCCCACATTGACCTGCAAATGCGATTGCGTTGTGCCGAGTGAGCGATATCACAGCCAGCTGTAAAAATCCCATGCCCGCCTGGGAAAAGGGACCACGAGAGAGAAAAGTGTCAACCATGACAAGGGTTATTTGATAGAAAGTTAGCGTGTCGGACCAGAATGCTGCGCTCGTGGCCTCCATAAGGACCGCACCGGCAGCAACCAAAGTAGGATGCTCAATGGGCGCCGTCTCGATGATGGCATCAGTCTGAATAGTGGAGATGGCCTCACATAGCCGACGGAACTCTTTGTCACATTTAGAAAAACTTGGTTCATCATCAATTGTGGTGTCCAGAGTCTTGAGACATTCTTTCAGCGCCTGGAAGGCACCTGTCGAGTTACCCAGTTGTGCAAGCATACGAGACTGCAAGATACAGGAGGGAGCCTTATCCACTGGACTTCGGGCATTGGAGAGAATGGATTGCAGCAAGCAGTTAGCTTCGGCATGCTGTCCTTGATACAAATAGCCTTCAGCAGCGGAGGTGTATATCTGCAGCGTCTCGCCGTAGCTCACATCCTCGACATCATCGTTCCACATGTCTTCCTGGAGTAGTATGATGCAGCTTTCGTATGTTTTGATAGCGGTCGAGGGGAAGCCAGTCTCACTCGCAGCTTTCGCGTGATCGACCAGAAACTTTCTATAAGGCCTTCTTCTTGCCACGGAGCTTTTGATTACCGTGGCTGACTCGATGATGGCCGTTGCCAGCATATTGCAGTATTTTTCCTCGTGGGAGTGATGCTGAAACAGCACTTGTGCTTTGATAAAATTCACATGATCCTTGCCTCTTGTGTGGAATGACGCCGCGAGATGCATGTAATGGTTATATGCAAAGGAAAAGATGTCAAGATCCTGCGTTGGTACGATAACGCAGGCTGCTATGGTCGCCTGAAGACCTTCAATCAGCTCTCGCTCATGCAGCGGAGACTCTGCAGCCATCTTATCGTTGTTCAGGAGCCTCTGGACCAGTTGAAATGAGAAAGACATGCCCAAAGCGGATGCCCATGCCATGATTGACTTGGATACAGGCGATAGGCTACTCAGGCGCCTAGCTAAGAAATCATCGAAGATAGCGTCGTTGTAGTTGTCCGCCTTGAAATATTCCGAGATTTGGCTTAGATTGTATGACCACAGTTCCTTCTGGTAGTCATAGCAAATGAATTTATGCTCATAGCAATCGTTCAACATTTCACGAACGTAAAGCGGGTTGCCACTGGTCCTGGATTGAATGAGCGCCCCGAAAGGCCAGATAACAGGAATAGGTAAACACAAGGTGCTTGCAATATATTGCATCACGCTGTCTTCACTGAGCGGAGAAAGCGTGATGGCGGTAATCCCTAGATCTCTTCCTTTCCGAGCACCTACGATGGTAAGCATGATACCAAATGGTAAGACAAGCCAGATTGATACAACGATCAAAACTGACGACAGACAGGGGGGGCAATTACCTTTATTGCTGGAGAGGTCAAAGAGAAGTTTTTTTATCATATTCGTGTTTTCAGGTCGGTAGGCCAAAATCACCACCATTCTGATTCTAGCCGAAATAATTTGAGCAATAAGCTCTAACGATTCTTCGTCTGCCAAGTGGACGTCATCTAGGCAGAGACACACTGACTTGTACCGTGTGAAGGTTCGCAGGATATCCAGCAATGTCCGCACGAGAGGCAAAGACTTGATCGAAGATCCGGTCCGAAGAAATTCCTGCGAGCTTTCCGTTCCAGTACTCTCAGGAGCAGGATGGCGGTAAGGTAGTGAGGTATTGGAAAGAACAGAATGATTCGGCAGCTGCTCAAATAAGGTGGGGCCCGAACCAATGAGGAATTTGGGAAGCCCTAAAACTTTGTGCAAAGTGTTCCACGTAGACCCAATTTGGTTTCGCAGCGTTGGTAAGAAACTAGGCTCAATCTTATTTTCTGAAAAGGCCTGCTCGAACAGACTTGAAAATAGGTGTAGAACCGGACGCAAGCTGTCTTCAGCGGCATTATCAAAGCGAGAGCTGGCGAAAAAGCCATTTCGTCGGGCTTCGATCTGGATCGATGTGATCAGTCGAGTCTTGCCCAACCCAGCCCCTCCTTCAATCTTGATTAGCTCGCAGAGTCCTTGCGACGCAAGTATGCGATGTGCAGCCGGTCTCCCCACATTGTCGCTGGAGCGCGAACTTCCCTCGCCGCTGGTGCTGTCGAACGATGCAGCCGATAGTCTCTTCTCTGCCTCTCTCCTATCTATGGCCACGGAACCGTTCTCGCTGCCCTCACTCGAGCAGTACTGCGAACCTCCAGAAAAACGCACGCGGCTCGTGTTGGCTATATACATCTGAGGAGTTCCGGCGAAAGTCGCGCTCGTGGATGCCGGCAAATTGAGAAACCCATCAGCTGAGTTACGGATATCTTCTTCCCCTAGGACATCACTTGGTGAGGGGAGAGCGGCGAAGGCTGCGAACTGGCCCTCCGGAAGCGACGATAGATGAAGCTTGTTGCCTCCCTGGTACAATTTGAAGATACGATCCAGGACCTCGGCGATAGTATCCCGCTCGATCGTCCGACCCACCATCGCGCGTGGGAGCGCAAAGAATGGAGAAACATCCTTGCGAGCAATCTGCCAGGTTTCCACTTCTGTAGCATCTCCCGTCGCTAGCACCCTCCGCACGTCCACAAGATCATGTCGCAGGCCACTGACAGAGTTGTATCGCTCCGAGACAGAATTTGCCGTTGCCTTGGTGATAATCCGTGCAATGACTTCCGGCACTTCGGGTCGCAAGCTCGACACCGACGGCAGCTCCTGTCCAAGTGCCTCCTTTATGATGTCCATGGGAGTCTCGCCCCCAAACGGGGTCTGGTGGATTAAAGCGTTCCACAGCAGGATGCCGAGGGAGTAGATATCGGCGCGATTGTCGGGCTGGATGGGCGGCTGGTCGGTCTGTTTGAGGCCCATGAAGGGGATATTGGTCGCGGCAACGTTTCGATTCGCAAGGGCGGACCAGCCGGCACTCTTTCGCCCGGTATGATGGGACAGGATACCCACCCCGAGATGGAGCAGTCTCACGCGGCCGGTCTCCCGATTGAAGTGAAACGCGTCCCCCCGAATCTGCCCATGCACAATTTGCTGGCTATGCAGCATTTTAATGCATCCAGCTGCACCGATGGCGAAATCCAGAAATATTTGCAACGGCATGGACTCTCTCCGGCCGGACTGATGCGAGCCCAGATCATCGATCTCGTCATCACATTTATCGCCCTCGGGACGCATCTGATACCAGGTCGCGTCGCAATCAACAAAGCGCAGGAGATCGTTGGGGCCGGGGCTTTCGTAAATGCAGACCAGGAGCGATGGCTCGTGGCCCTCCTTGAGGCTGGGTAAGCGCAGCATCTCCAGGGGCTGCAGGAGATACTTGCGATGAGGGGCAGCAACGGATGCCAGCATCTGATACTCTTCTTGCACCCTTTCCTCCAGGCCCAGACTCTCACCAATGCGCGCCATCACTTCGATTGTTCCCTCCGACCCTCCGTGCGAGCTCTCAAGGTGGCTGTCCTCATCAAGACCGCATAGGGCTGAGGTATCGTTCACATCAACCGGAGAGGATACACTTGGTTGGCGAGCAGTCTGTGCATGATTCTGACCAGTGGCACGGTCAAGGTGCCTCGTACCGAAAACGTGCCTAAGAGAGTTTCAGCAGAGAGCTTCCTCGTCGTGTGGGGGGGGGACTGGAAGTGAGCCAACGCACCATACGCCATAGCTTGAGCGAGATTGCCGCGACTCGTCCCAAGTATAAGCCGATAGCTGATTCAGTCTGTCCATCGGACAGATTGGAGGCCTTTCTGCCTCTTCGTGCGCTTCTACGATTTCGCAGGAAACATGGGGGCGTCGCTGGGGGATCAGGCGGAAGGATCCACTGCCGATCGGGTGTCAAGATCGCCGTGCTTTTCCTCCTGTTCTCCGGTGGCAAATAGAGTAGAAATAAGGGCAATAGAAAGAAGTGAGAAGGAGAGAGAGTCCGGAACAGGGAACTACACAGTAAATGTAAGGCACGTCGTACTTATTAGTTACTCCCAATGAAGATGGGGAGAATAGTAAGCTAGATAGAAGGAGAAGGGAGGATTTTGGAAAGAAGGCAGAATTACCGCCAATTATTCGATTTTCAGCGAAACAGGTTTTTTTTCATTTTTTCCCTTTACTAAATTCGATCTAGACCGTTTTTTTCCTTCCCTCGGGTGGGATGTATTGAAGAATATGAAAATTTTCAGGTCAAGAGAGTTTTTTCCCGTTGCGATCGACTCATTATCTATCAAACGACCAAAGACCAAAGACCAACGATCTTAAAGCGGGGAGAAAGGAGTTCATGACAAGCAATATCAATGGATGGATGCTTAACCTGACCGCTTCCAGACGCTTCCATCGGCCCCCTTAGGCTTTCCTATTCTCTCACTCGGTTATCTACTCCGCGTCCATTTACCATTTAATTTAATATTAGACCCGCGGCTGTTTTGATTCTTCCACCAGGGTTCTTTTGCCGGCTCGATCGCAAGTGGTTCCATCCCCTCCCCCACGATGCAGGAAGAAACGAGGTCCACCCCGTAAGTCTCCTGAGAATCCTACTTCTTCTTTCCCAACCCCAGCCCCAAATGAACTACAAAAGGAAGAAAAAAGGACCAAAAGAAAAAAAAAATAAGCAAGAAACTCGTTTCTCTTCCGTGCCTCCATTATTCTGGAGAGTCCTGTTCAGACTTCGTGTACTGGCATTCGCCATCGATCTTGGCAACATCACCCTGGCCATTCATTCTACATTCTGACTGACCCCTGCGTCGATCTGCTAGTCTCCGTCTTGGGTCGATTGCCCCTAACTTTCAAGCCGAAACTACCATCGGCCCTATCGACTTTCACGAGTGGGTCGGCAACAATTGGGCGATTCTCTTCTCCCACCCGGAGGATTACACCCCAGTCTGCACCACGGAGCTGGCCGCACTGGCCAAATACGAGCCCGAGTTCACCAAGCGCAACGTCAAGTTGATCGGTCTATCTGCCAACGACATCGAGTCGCACGATGGCTGGATCAACGACATCGCCGAGATAGCCGGATGTGCCTTGACCTTCCCCGTCATCGGCGATAAGGACCGCCAGATCGCTTATGCCTATGACATGTCAGTGGATTTCCTTTCTCCTCTCTGCCCCTCCCCTACCCAGGCAGCCCACTTCCGTCATAAACTCACGTGTCCCAACAGGCTTGATCACCAAGATACTACCAATGTGGACGCGAGGGGAATCGCCTACACCATCCGGTCTGTATTCATTATCGACCCCAATAAGGTCATTCGCCTGATTCAATCCTACCCTGCCTCCACGGGCCGTAACACAGCCGAACTTCTCCGCGTACTCGACTCTTTGCTCGCTACTGACAAGCATTCCATCAATACCCCCGTCAACTGGGAGCCCGGTGATGATGTGGTCGTACCCTCCCACATCGCGGATGAGGATGCCAGGGCCCGGTTCCCTAACATGCAGGTGGTCAAGCCGTACCTGCGGTTCACCCCGTTGGCCAAGGAGAGTTTTACCTCCATTTGAACTCCATGTCAGTAGAGCTCAAGCGTTTCTGTTTTTGATGTTGTGACTGCCAATCTCACCGAGAGAGGGGCAAGAAATTCCAGCCTGCAAAGCAACTGTAATGCTAAATCGTGATTTCGCAAAAGATGAGCCCCAAAATTGTCGCCATCTAAATGGTTTGGTGTGATTTAGCCTCGTAGGGAGTCTCTCTAGACTTAATTTCGAGTATAGTCTGGTCAGAAGTAAGGGAATGAGAGTTAGAAATGCCTTAATTACGCAAATCACGGCAGACGTTTCTAAACGGCCTTGGGAATTACATCTATATTGATGTCTATATTGATAATGGGTTATGCACGAGAGAGGGTACTTGGACGCGAGCATCCCTCCATGTTCGCCAGTGTCAGTAGCCTTAGGCTAGTGCTCTCCAGCCAAGGGAAGTATGAAGAGGCGTAAGCGATGCGTGAACAGGAACCATGAACAAGTGGGTGAAATACGGGCTGTCGACAGTGAGTATGTAGTGTGTTGGCGTGCTGGTGAAGGTGTGTTGATGATGAGGGCGTGTTGATGGTAAGGGCTGGAGATGAGGGCCGGAGATGAGTGACGGTTGAGGATTGGTGATAATCATGATCGATGGACCAGTGAGTCAACATGTTGATTTGCGGCGCGGCGTAACTGCCGAGCGGTGAAGTGGCTGCCAACGGTGACTACCCATCGCCGTTATAGTGGGATCTTCGTTGGCTCACCAACGATGTCATAGATGATAGACGGTGAAACATGATGCAGTTCGTCAACTAGAATCTGTCATTACAGCAGATCGCAATGTTATTTTCTGCGGATAGTCATTTCTTCAGAAACTCGACTATGGGCTTGGAGTTGCGTGGTGCAATCAACATTGGCTATCAATTCAAAAATATGTTAAAGGGTACATTATGTACATCTATTGACGATAGATTTAGTTATTGTTTCACTCGGGTCGCTCTTCTACGTGGCTTGAGCTTCGTCGCATACTCTTTGGTGATACACAGCTCTGAGGGAATGTCGGTAAATGGTCTTCCAATATTGCTCAATATATATCCTCAGGCGCGCACGTCCATGGTAGCAGTAGAATTGGAAAAACCATCAGAATGTCAGCGACTCAAGCCCTTTACTCTGGCCCTTTTTTCGAATATTATATTCCATTGGCATGGCCAAATGAGAGACTCTTGTGGAGCTCAAAGGGTAATGTAGCTGAGTACTGGTCGAGACTAACGGTGGCTATGATATTCTAAGAAGATGCTGAATATAGTGAGGCAGATTTCGTGCGGCCAGCGCATCTGCTCGCGTGGTCTAGTCGAATATGCCTTGTTTACCTCAAAATAACGAACCGGGTTCGATTCCCGCAGGTGCATCTGAATGACCATTCATCAGAAAGACGGTCCTCGCTCATGCATCCTGTTCACAACCCGCTGTTTTCCGGTTCGTCTCGCGTGTTTTTTCTTTTTTCTCTTGGGACTCGTGATATGAAACGCTCTCTGGAATACCGACCTAAGGCAGCACCCGGCGGTGGCGACAAGGCCGTGCACTGACGCGTCGCAGCGTCTCGCGTCGGGCACAAGTGACAGGCCCCACAATGGCAGAACATCACAGCTACGTCCGAGGTCAAAAAGTACGGCTATTCTACCAGTTATCACAAACTCGCCTGGCATCCTTCGAGTAATCACTGAGCAGTTGCGACCGCTGCGGCAGTCGAACGACCGTAATTTACGACGCTCGTCCGCTGGTGAATTCGTGCCGTTCGGGGATGACATGATGGGAAGAACATTCGATTGGCTTTGACCACGGTTGGGAGGAAAAGCTCATCTTCATGTCAATGGTTTGGCAAAAAGGTCAATTCTACAAACCTTCCAGCCTTGAGAACGTACCCCTTCCTTTTGTTCATCGTATAGGTCACGGGGGAAGCTTTGCATCGCCATCTGCCTTGGCCACAGGCAAACAGATTGCCATTGGAGATATTAGATCTAGCACCAATAGTCAGCAACTGGCGCAAGATGGGTGCTCGCTACTGACCGTGCTCGCGGCCTATATGAGAATCTCAATACCAGCCGCAATACGCGATCTCGATCGGACTTGTAGGAACAGCCGAAGCAGTACTGCATTTCACTGCTTCTCTGTATCAGCAAGACTTCTGGTGGCTAAGGGTAGTACAGACTTGCCATTAATGTAGTTTGGGATTCAGCGAAAGCCAACCAGAGATGTAGCGGGCTCAGCTCGATTACATCTGGAGGGCCCAGTGTCGTTTCGTATCGCTGCAGATGAATGTTGGCACTATCTGCGAATGCATAGCCTTCTGCCTTCGATCGTATGGTTAGAAAAAAGAGCACATGTATGGAGGGAAAACTAGAAAATGCACTTCTTACTCAAGCAATTCGAAACCCCGCTTATTCTAGAGGGGATAGTTGACATATCTCATGCTCCCATAATACCCAACTGCTTGTACGCCACGGTTTCCTTCACCGAAGCTGGCATGCGTGACCCCAGATCTCGCCTTAAAATCTGGCTCATAGCTCCGTTTCAATAGACCAAGAACCCTTGGGAATGGTATATGGCTAGACCTGGTTGCTCTGCTCTGGCAGCATACTGAGCTTCCATGTCATCTAATTGCTCCATGGTCTCCGCGAGTTTCTGTTGCTGTGGTATCATGTCATCCGGATTCCTAGAATGCCAACCTGGTAAGATAACTTATACTGTAAGCGCCACATGAGAAGCCCGAAACATACATCAGAGCTGCGCCATACACGCATTGAAGTGCCAAATGGCATGCGGTAAATCCATCGTGAGACGGAGAGTTCGTAAGGGGAGTGGAAGAGAGCTCGCCGCAGTCTATGGTGCAGCAATACAAGAGCGAAAAGACATTCGACACGACTTCGCTGCCTAGGGAGCCCCATCGTTCAGTTTTGAGCTCTTTGGTATTCAGAAGAAGACTTCCAATCTGTGTCATGATATCAATGATTCGCGAATGCAGAGATATATCTCGCTGAACTAGGACGGAGTGTAAGTATTTATATGTTCTTCGCCCATGACCTCGCTCTGGGCCGGATGTCGTTCATAACATGCAATGGTATGGTGACGAGCTCAATAGCTCACCTGGCTGCATGGTGCAGGTGGGACATGCATGGACCCTGTTGGCTCATTTTCATTGGCAGAACTGAGTTAGTATTCATAGCATCCAATGATGCTAATGATTTGGACGACCCACAGAAACCATTACCTGATATCGGCCAATAATGTCACTGAAGACTCGTGTATGTGTGGGCAATATAATTTACATGACGTTGGCAAGGCATTTGCATGATGTATTTTAGACGAAAGTGCTATACGCTTGCTGCCTGCGTGCCCCTCCTTGGTTGCTGTCAACCTCCCCAACCGAAAGGCTTCTTCCCGTTGACTCTTGATCATCATCCAACGTTGAGATACGTAATATGGCTTCAAGGCTCCCCCTCTGAACACTGTATCTCATCCGTGATAAGATCGAGAGCCAGTCCTTTACCACCTCTCGAATGGCTGAAGAAGCTGAATACGGCAAGCTTACAATCACAAATATTCGCAGAAACTTGCGGCAATTTGGGAGCTGCCAGTTCCTAACGCCTGTTATTCTACATTTTGCTCCTGGAACGCTTTAAAGTGATATTCACGGTGTCCATGAGCTGTCGCACTTTCCTGGTGGTGACTCGGTCTTTCGTTTCCGTAGCTTCTCTGTTGAAATCTTCATTTGTTGCCGGCGTTTGTCAGAATCCAACCAGGCTAGCCGTGTTCAGAAGAATTCTATTGTAGCTAGTGATGATGCAAAGCCTCTTTCACGTCAACCTTATCTCGTTATATATGTGTTGAAGAGTAATCTTCGAGTCGGTCATGGATGTGGCTATAGTTGAAGAACCTAGAATGAGGTTCTCGCTAAAGCCAAAATGGATAGATGTGGGTTTGTAAACAGCCATTGGGTGACAATGGCAAGGATAACTCTTGCTACCAACGTATCCAGCGTGCAGACCTTATACGCCTCGGTAACCGCTATTCAAGACATCATGCAGAAAAGCTCCTCTAAATACCACTCCCCTTCGCACTTCGTCTGTTTCGCGTAAACCGAAGAAACGTTTTCGCTTCGTCTGAGCTCAGACCATCTCGAAGGCGTGAACTGGCTAGACGAAAAGTTCCATAATCATGGACTCTGTAATTCTCTGGAATAAGTTCTTGCTGCCCGTCGGCAGTGGACGGGTACCACTCTTCAAGCGCAACCATGACCAGTTCGTCCTCGCGCGGAGGCAAACTGAGATGCCTTCCTTTCAGCAGTACGCGTTTCCTTACTTCGGAAAGCCGTCCCTCTTCAATTTCAAGGACCTTCTCGGCCAGAGCAGCCCATAACGAGCAGTTAAAGAAACCTTGTACCGAAGGCGCTTGTCGAAGGAGATCCAGTGCGTCTCGGCGTAGGGCCGGATGACGGCACTTAACAGTGGTGAAAAATAGAGGCATGCCGACGCCCATTTCGAAAGTGAACGGTGATTGTGATCGACCTGGCGTTGCTGAGAAATCTAGAATATGCTTTGACCAGCTAACAATAGACCGGAATTGACCGAAATGCATATCATATTCGGTCTCATGTTGTTTAAGGCAACTTGAAATCATGACTGAGATGGCTGCGTGCCAACTCAATAGAGTTGCTGCAAAAGCTGTTCTTGCGAACGAGGAGTCCTTTTCACTCCATATGGCAAAGTCGACCCTCCACCGCTGGAGCTTGGACTGAAGATCCCATTGACGCGACTGGAAGAGGGGCGACCTGCTCACGACCTCTCCAGCACGGGTTTGTCTGTTTGCTTCTCTTTGGAGAAGCATCGTTTCCGCTATTAGCGAGATGATTGTTGTTCGATGATCGGCGGGGGTACGAAGCGCAGTTTCCGTGAATGCAATAATCGCCGACGAATTTTTAATCGGATACCGCGTAGCTACCAACGCGAATGTACCCAGCCGGAGGAATAATGGGACAATAACATCTCGCAGGACTGACGAATTCCAAGCCGCATCTCTTCTGTCAGGCAGAGCTGCGATGAGACTAGCACCCTGGTTATATAAATGTAGAGCCTCTTCAAAATGACCCTGGAGAGCCTCGATACAGATATATAGGATGCAGGTCACAAGCGCGATATACATATCAGTGGCATTTTTTTTTAATCTGCCGACGCATTTGGGAAATTGATCGGCAATACCACCTGAGTGCTTCGCGTTGTTTGGGCCTTAGTTCCGTTGCAGTAGATACCGTTGATGTACGAGCAAGGCGGTCCCCATCTTCGTATAGCCCGCTGATAGCAATAATGGCGTCATATACAGCTCGTTCAGAGCGGCAAGTCTCTAGGACTATTCCTTGCCAAAAGGAGACATCAAAGCAGCCTCCGATCGCAGGACCGACTCGTTCAAAATAGTACTTAAGTGCTACTTCTTCTCGATTTTCTCGAAGAGATAGGTCGAGCGGAGAATAAGCACGCAGAATAGATGCCGGGCCCGGCGCCTCGAAGGCATTGTCATATGAGCAGGATCGGATAGAGGTTCGACAGCGTAGGCAATAGGGCTTTTCCTCGTCACATTTCACTTTGCGGGTCCTATAGTCCATTAGATGGTCCCTGTGCAGGAAATCACTACGCACCTACAGGCTATACAGCCTGTTCGGGATTTCAGTTTTACAGATCGATGAATTGACTGACGAAAGGTATGTTCCATCCTCTGAAGTTAAAAGACCAGCCAATGTAAGAAATATCCGAGGTACGTGGTAGCGATTTTGGACAGAGCCGAGTAAAAGTGTCATAAATCCACGCACAGTAGAGATGGCGTGACGATAGAGTGTGCTCGAGTGAAACGTCAATGCAGAGGTTCGACTGGCGAACTGAGGGGCGGGTCTCAGGTTACGTGGGAAGGAGTGGATACTCGCTCTATAACATGATTGGCCGATGTAGTGCGACATGTATCTACGATGTCAGATCACGCTAGGGAACCGAGGGATAAACACCATCCGAGAAGGTTATAAAAGATCTGAAATGCGCACAAATATAGTTATTACTTGTATGCTCCTTTTGACCGAACCACTTTCTAGACCCCGAAGGGTCAAAAATTTGCTCTCTAAGCAACTTGAACTTCAGTTCTAGTGGGACTACGGACTAGCCACAACCTCATACAATCGTCGATCCTGTGAGTCTAAACCTAAGCTGGACTTCTATTATTAACTAGCTCTAATATGGAAACCAAAAAAGGCACCAGTTAAACCGACGGCCTACACAGCTACCATGAAGAGTGACAGCGATGACAAAGGCAGCTTAGTTGTTGGTCTGTTCATCCTGGGGGGTGCTATCACCACTATGATATATTGCGGAATCCGACAACTTATTGAAACAATGCCGACATATGGCGTTCGAGACATTTCTTCGGATCAAGTCAAGTACATGCGGGGTGTTCGGCGGAGGAATCTGAGCTGGCTATGGTATAACTCTCGGACAGAAGATATTGCCTCGGCGGCGTGATGGTTTCTCGTATTTACTATGATTGCAATGAGGCTTTCATTTATTGGCTGTGGGTCCATAAAATAAAGACCTAGGCCAGAAGTCTGGCTACACCGCCGAATTAGGCAATTCTGCCATATCATTATCACCACATTCAAATATATATATCTCAAGCAATATATTGAATATTATCACCAAATTTTAATATATTCTAAATTATTCAATATTTAATATATATAAAAAAATTCATTGCCTAGAACCGCGTATAAAAGCCCAGAGCTCGCTGGCAAGCAAGTACGCGCGCATGCGTCGATCTAATTAAGCTATCAATTTTATTTTGATCTAGGGCATCCCACGCCTCAATTATCGCCTTTTTGAATAGCTTCCAATCAGCATCAGAGGTGCCGCAATTCAAAAGATTAGGGTATAGCTCATATAATTTGCGTTTGAGCATACGCCACACGGGTTCAATAGGGCTTAGATCGGGCGAATGTGCAGGCCAATCTAACACCTCAATACCGTGACGTTCAAACCACTCTTGCGCCCTATATGAACGATGGATTTTGGCGTTATCTTGCTGAAAGATAATTCCAGGTTCGTAGTGTTGAATAAAACCTTTTTCTAAGACATCAATGTATGATTGGGTTGTATAGCCCCCATTTTGATTCTCTGAAAAGTCACGCTCCATAATCATAAGATTTGTACGCCCCCCAAGCCAGATACCAGCCCAAACCATTTGACTAATATCCTTTACATGAGGCTTAACAAGCACAAGTCCCCGCCGATATGCTTCTCCTTCAAGGCGTGTAACATATTGGCCGTTTAAATTCGGAATACGTTGGACGCTGCATTCGTCAGAAAAGATGAAGTCTTCGAGGCGGGAATTAAGGGCCTCACGGCGCCAAGTTCGACAAAATTTCTTTCGCCTTCGAGCAACTACCTCTGAAATAGGTATACAACGGCGCGCCCTAAATCTCCGAAGACTTTTATGGCGGAGGAATCGCTTAATTGTTGATCGAGATGGATGACCGGGTATCGTAGCACTAAGCTCACTGAGGCTTTTCCAGGGCTCCCGACGCGCTAGAAGAACAGTATATTTAAATGTTGAGAGGTCAAATGTCCTAGGGGTACCTGAGCGAGGCCTTGATTTTGTGTTGTGTTGTTGTTGAAAGCGTTCAATCGTTTTGTATATCGTAGACCGCGCAACGCCTATATCGGAAGCGATTTTAGTAGGCGATACACCACATTCACGTGCAAATATAATAGCGGCGCGGGCTTCAGATGAAAGCTCTGCCCCCGGCCTTCGGTTAGCACTTATTTCGGTACCGAATTGACGCATATTGGTGGTGTATTAGGTGTTTGGAAAGGAGAGGTTGGGGGGTGGACGCGAAAAACGCGCTAAATAATTAGCGTGTGTAGCCAGACTTCTGGACCGCCTTTGTAGTTATAAAGTGTATATTGGTCAAGCCGATTTCGAGAACGACTGTAGAGTGCGTGGCCGGCGACGACTCTCACCTCCCGTGGTGCCGGCTGGGAACCTGTAAATACCTAGCCTGGATGGTATTTGCAGAGCTAAGAAGAGTCACCGCCGGCCAGCACTGTCCGCTGGCTAGGGCTATGGCTGGAGCGAGAGCTCAGGGGTCAGGGGCTGACCCTAGCCGCAGGCGACAAGGGAACACTTTGAAAACCACCCGACGCACGACTGCGAGACCGATCCTACAATCAGTGGACACTAGAGTCGTGGGATAGGACACCCTTGGGGTGCTCTCGGGCTGCTTTGTTGAAAGGAAGATATCGCTGGGTCTGAGACACAGAAACGACATAGTGTTGTGATATGAGGCTGGTGCAGATCAGGAACCAAGCCGAAACCATCGGAATTAATCCCGAATTATGCATACGAAGAACACAAGTTGATTTTCAATCAACTTGGCCTTCTTGTTGTATATGTAGCCTCATGTTTGCCTCTAGAATAACACAAGAATATACCTCTGAACTACAACAAGAGCTCATCCGGAGAATCTTGCTTGGCCTCGGTTGTCAAAAGGCTGGCAGCGCCGGTGGTGTTCTATTGCATGTTATTTTGGCTCTCATTTCGCTACTGGAAAGATCCTCACCTTGAACTCGATACTTTCGCGCTGCGAAGGTTCGCGGAATAGGCCATGCAGGTTGACGGTAGTGTCATCCCCAGAGTGTTTGAGGAGCTGCCGCTGTCTTTTAATTGGTCGCTCGGTCGATGAAAACCGATCTGGTGCGTCTATTTTCTTTATGTACGAAGTGAGCTGTATGGGTTGCGAGAAGAGACTCTTCAGAAGCTTCTTATATGCTATCATGGAAGGAGACACGCGAAGCCAACATATACTCCACGCCCGCAATGATCAGCTTCTTACCCGTAATGGAGCTCTATAACGACGCATGTTTCAATCTAAGCCCGTTTGCCATATCGCATAGATGAGGATCAACAACAGGGTCGTTCATGAATTGATGCAAAGACAAACATTCTGTGGCAGTATCTAATCCTGATTACTGTCGAGCTATCAACGCCGCGCCCTATGACGGTTGGCATTATTCTCAATCCATCAAGATCCTGGCCTTCCACCATCCCATTCCACAGGTCATCATTGATCTACACCTCTAGCGGCCTTTCAATGCAGGTTGTATCGCCCTGCTGTACAAGTCTTTTCCTGAACTTTGAGAAATCCACCGATTCTCCCGATTCTCCATTTAAATGATGAGGCTGCACTTGTACCTCGACGGCTGCGGAGATCATTGACCAGCTGCAGATTCTAGAACAGCCTTTTACAGTAAGGGGTATCAATTGATTTATGCTCCAACTGGAGAGGTTTGATGCCGTCCAATCTGGTTTCGGAATCAGGAATCAGCGGTCGGCAACAATTACACTTGATGAGTATGTCCATTGGATTGCATATTAGGCATATATTAACGCAAGCCAGAACGATTTAGAAGAAACTAGCCTGTTTTTTCCCACACCACAAACCCCTTCCATTCCTGAAACAATAGAATCATATAATTAACACGCGGGATGGCAATTGATTTCTGGGGATTCGATGGACTATGTTGGCTATCCGCTGACAAGAATGAACAAGCGTTGCTGTCTGACTCGCAAGGTAGGTACTCTAGCTACTTTTTCAACCGGCCAAATAGTGCTATTCTGTGTTTCTAATTGTCTGGATCCGTAAATCGCAGGGCATGTTTCTCCCCATTCAAAGAGACCCTTTCCCACAAGGCAACCAGATATCCAAGAGCTCGACCTCCAAATGGAAAAATTGACTACAGAGGTCCCAACCTGGGGGTTTGAACCATATCTACCCCATCGAACCTTCTGTGAGACACAAAACCTTGATAACGATAAGCGTTTCGTTGACGTCGCGATGGTTCAGGCCACTAGCCATGCCAGTGCTGCAGGCCACACAGACGACCAAAACTTTATCATCCAAATGGAAGATACGATCGGAGAGGATAAAATTTGGGGTTTTGACCCAGATCTATCTTGCCTTTCCTTTTGTGCCACACAAAGTGATGATAACGATTCGCATCGCGCGAACGTCCCGAAGGTGCCTAGCAACGCTAGTGCACAGCCATTCGAACCTGAGACAAACATCGTTGAGACTCGAAGAGCTTCCCCTTTCCCCCCACGAACGTACAACTAGTGGGAAGACAGTAAAAGAAATCAATGATCTTCAAATGAGAGTATGAGCTTCCTAAAATGAATAGTGCTCTCAAATTTGTGATATTGATATGCCTGCGCGGCTATTGTCTGAAGTCATAACCACTCAACGAGACTGGGGTTGAATGGTATTATTTTTTTGTACTTGCGTCACAGATAGCGATTGTTGGTCCTTGAAAAACACAGGATTCATTGTATACTGCTTATAGAATCTCTCACTAGATTAATTGTCGAAACTAACTTACTCAACATACCTTTCACTTTCGTTTCAGGGCCGATGCGTGCCCCCGCGCGCCTCTTCCAGTCCCTTAGCCTAGGCATGGCTATGCCCTGAAACGAACGAAGTGAGAGAAAGGGACTTAAACACGGGACGTACTTGTGTGCGAGGCGTTGCAAAAAGAAGTAACTTAACTATATATGGTTTGTTCTGCCACGCACGATTCTCATTCGCTTTCGCAGCTCCGGGTACCTGCCTTATTTTGCTGTTTTTGGATTAGATGGTCTTGGCTTAGGGTTGTAGGGTTATTTGTGCATATTCATGCAGGTTGTGCTGCCTTGATTGCTTCATCATCTGCTTGTCGCCATCCATCTTATTGCAACGTGGTGTTTTATATCGCCACTATGGGCTCTCTTTGTGCGTTTGGAGCGTTCATTCTGCCGATTTGCCCCTCCCCTTACTTTTGTGTCCGTACCCTCAGCATGTTATCTAATCGAATATCTAATCGGATTTGTTCTGGCTGTGGTCGTCAAGTACGTCTTTCTACGGCAATTCAATCACCAAAATGCCCTGCTTGTCGATTTTCTCTACTCCCCCCTATACCGGAAACGCGCCCTTGCTTGCGTTGCCACGTTCCAATACCCGCGGAATCACCAAATATTCGCTGCATGCGATGTGAAGCTGTAGGTCATCCCGAACCTCGCTATACTCCATGTTATGACTGTCGAGCTCCATTTATCGTTCGACCGGGTGTTATGCGCTGCAGTAGCTGTAGGATGATTGGTTCGGACTTTACGACCAGTCACCACATCAGAGCGTAACTTTACATGCGACATACTTGGCGCCAAGCATTGCAACGTAGGAACGCCAGGCAGATTTTTGCCACATACGATACAATCACTCTCTACACTAATATTTCTTTATCATCGGGTTGACCTGCACAACACCTCGCTTTTTCAAAAAAAATTTGGAATGGCATAGTCTCTCATCGTTCTCTATGTGAACCAGACCCATCAAAGGTTTTGTTCCGGTATCTAGGAATATCATCGCTCTGAGAAATTTTGATGAGGCGTTTATCTGGAAGATAAGATATTTGTCAGCACAAACAATTAACGATTCTCTGGTGGCACAGGATGCTTGAACGAGCCCGAGAACTACTGGAGACTTTATATCAGCTTTGTATCCTCGTCCACCCAAAGAAAACCCCCAAACACCTTGACAATGCAAGTCTTGACCGTGCACTCATAGTTCACAACCCAAACAATTCCGAATTGGGCTTGGAAGATTACAGAATTCCAATTTCGCCTTCAACCGGGGATATTGAAAGCCCAGCACAAGCGGACAATCGAGTGTTTCTCCCACCGAATGGTATACATTACCATTTCAAGACGTCTCTTAGGGCAAAAGTGCGGCTATTCGGGGAAAGACGCGCTTCAAAGCCCGCAAACTGGCCATTATGCAAAAAAAAAAGATAAAAGAAAAGCCCAGTCTCAGGCCGAATTGGAAAGCTGAAGGGTATGTTGCAACCTGAAATGACTTCTTGCGAGGACAGGAACATGATATCTCAGAAATACGGGGATATCTGCAACGTTATTGGCCGTGGATCTTCAGCGGTCATACTTCTTTCACGTAAGAAACAAGAGTGGCATCCAAGCGTTCATTCATTCTACGCTATCAAAGTCTTTCGCTATCGACCGGAGATAGCTGAAGCCGCATTCTGAAAGCTGATCGACGCCGAATTTACAATTTCTTCTTCCCTCCGACACAGATATATTATTCAAACATTAGAGCTTATAAGAGTTGATGGTGATATTTTTTGCGAGTGCATGGAATATTGTCCTGGTGGCGATCTTCATTCCCTAGTGATTGAGAGAGGCCGGCTAGAAACTGAAGAGGCCGATTGCCTCTTGAAACAGCTCATGCGTGGTGTCAATTATCTTCACCAGAAGGGGATAGCCCATCGCGACTTAAAGCCAGAAAACCTTTTTCTCACATTAGATGGTGGCCTTAAAATAGCAGATTTTGGCACTGCAGAATGCTTTAGTCTCGCTTGGGAAAGTGATGTTTATATGTCAACCACACGACGCGGGTCACGGCCTTATGTTTCGCCTGAACAGTCTCTCAGCGTCAACTTTGATCTGAGGCTAGCTGACATATGGGCTGTTGCTGTGACCTATATCGCGATGCGAGCGGGTAGGATCCTATGGAACGTAGCCACTTCCGAAGACGAGAATTTTAGAGACTATAACGCAGATCATCGAATTGGAAAAGATTATCTTCTCATTGACGATGCATGTATTGTATGCTGCCATTCGGTTCTCCTATGATTGAAAGATATGCTAATTTCGTCACTTTAGGCAATGAGCCGCCGTGTCATATATTCGATGCTTGATACAAATTGCACTCATCTCCATTCGCCCTGGCTACAATGGATTCAAGTTTGTACAGATGCAAGGGATTAAGGGGTGATTGATCCAATTAAAATATGATATGTTCTATTCGGAATTGTTGCGGAGAGCCCCCCCCTTGCGTCGGGTCCACGATATTTCGTGCTTATGATCGCACACAGATATCGCTCATATATCCTCTCCTTCGAAAGGAATATTGCCTTTTCGAGGGGGAGTTGCGCTCTCTTCGCAACGGTTTTCTTCCCGCCCACCGCAGAACCCCTCATTATGTACTAAGTATGCTTCCGCATAGCTTTGCTTCCTCCTAAGAATATACGGAGTGCTACGGGCCCGCCTGCAACCCTCACGGCGCTGTAGCCTTCTGCCAAGGAGACCTACATCACCATGTTCAGACTGCAGGTGCCCCGTATGGGCCAAAAATATCTCACTCGTCTCCATTTGTAGCAGTGTAGCAATGGTTGGAATAGATATTATTTCTTTGTAACTTTGTTCGAGAATTATTCACGGGATATAGGGCCTAGAGGGTGAAAATATGCGCTCTGAAAGCCTATTAGGCCAATGTATATGTAGAATCTCGAAAGCTAAAAGATTGTGACTCACCAGAAAGAGATGTTGAGACAGTAGAAGAATAATCGTGCTCAGTGAACTTTTGGATGTGGCAGAATCATGGCAGAAACTAGCGGTGAAGAAGGGTGGTAATACCTTTCGATATCCTCAAACCCGTCCGTAATCATCAAGTCAGTGTCTATCTGCAAGTATCGTTGAAAATTAACATGGAGCCGAAACTGCGATATCCCGCAGTATTCTAATCTACCGCCTTGATCTAACAAGTGCGTATAGCATAGCACAGAGCTTCTTATGGGACAGGGCAGGGTTATGCTTTTGTGCTTCTCCAAAGTGGAGCAAGGAGTAGCATAGGGCCAATCATGTCATGTTACTAATGATGCCCATTCCCCAGCAAGAATTCCCTGGATTAAGGCGGTCCCTCGAATTCTTGTTTCCTAGGATGTGCCTCGTTTTTGTATAAGCTGTCAGTGATGATCCTCTACGATCTAGGCCGTTGTCTTCATCCCTTCTTTCTTAGTGAGGAAGACAACCTTATCTAGCTAATTATGTCCCGCTATTACCCTCTATCATCCCTTGCTCACTCGGACTCGCTGGTCTGTCCTGACTTGATGGGGAGATCGAGCTACTCCAAGGTGGGGAAAGGAGTAAAACCGAACCAATAATATAAGAGGGTAGTTGAATTGGTAGAGGTTGGTAGAAGTTGGTAGAAGCTACTCCTGATCGTTGTTGCCTTCCATTAAACCAGAGAGCGAAAACTCTCAATTTTCCCTAGGCCCATAGATTACTTCTATACTTATAGATCAACATACCTCTTTTTGGTACTTTGCGAACTTACGGAGAGGATTAAATAGCTTAATTACCTGCTGAAGCTCCTCCAAATCACCCTAGAGCTGTTTCTATTGAAATGAAACCAGTCTCGCTTGAGACAGGAAGGCCTCTATACCTAAGCTTGCTAGCCCATTTAGCTCTTCTCTTCGAAGACAGACTTTCCCAATTTTTATACAGAGTTGAATTCTAGCATGAAACCCTCACTATGTGGCCCTGGTCAGGAGCTTCTTGTAATAATTTGGCATTTGGCTTACCTCCGGGCAACAAAGAACGGCGCGGCAAGCCGTCAACATCAAGAGGCACTCGGGAAATAGCCCAAAGTTCGTTTTCCCCTTCATCAGAGAGCTCCCCGGGAACTGGCTCAGGCTCTTCGGGAAACAATTAGTCTCTTCAAAGACAGCTCGGGCTTATCAGTGAAAGACTCAGGCTCTTCCGGGGATTTCTGCCAGGATGTATTGTGGCACCCTCTTATTTCAAGATGACACGTAAGAGCATCACAACTAGCCTCCTCAGCAATATCTACAACACCACTAGACCACTGGTACCAACAAATATATTAGATAACGTTCTCCTAATCTCTGATATTATGCCCGCATTAGCTTCTTTTCTGAAAAGAATATTTGCCATTTCAGGCTCCTCGTTAAATGATAATTTAATACGCGCCATCCCAAACCTCATAAAGCTATTAGACATGAGCTTTTGCTACAGCGAATGATAGTTTGGTGTTCTAGGACGCTTGAATTGGAGGATAGCGCAGCTAAGCGAGTAATGTACTTACTCTGTTTACTGAAGTCGGATGCCTATAATACAACGCGATGTAACTTCCTCTGCCCCTACACATTTGACCGAAAAAAACGACATAGAAAGAATTGATATGAATTTTCAGCAAGTCAAGAGACCAACTTAGCCGGAAACAAACGACGCTTTCTTCCCCATTTCTCTGCCAGAAAAGCGGAACTCCATGATAGTGAAAGATAAGACCACATCCGCTGTATGCCAGAGATACTAACATTGTTGAAGATGATGCAAATACTGACCATTGACACTAAGTGCAAGTGATGTGTCAGAGTCAAAATCTCCCCGATACACTAACCAAGACATCAGGAAGGACTAGCCTCATGGGCATCAGGAGTCCTGAGCTCTTCGCTTGAAAGAGCCGGCGGGTCATGAAGAACTAGATTGACGAGCCGCTCCGGCTCATCGGTGTGTCCAGAACCGAGCTGCTGCTCGTTTGTGGGAGGAATGACAGAGCGGCCAATACGGAACGGCGTTGGATTTGGCGGGGGTGAGCGCGCGCCACGCTTGCGGGTTCGAAAGCTAGTTCTGGGTAAAGGTACAGCAGTGCTGTGGGTATGGCGCGAATTGGAAAGAGGCACTGGCTCGGGCTCATCGATGCTGGTGCTGATGGCACTCGAGATGGTTCGTGGCAGATGATAGCCGGCTTTTCCAATAGGGACAGACAATCCATGCACAACAATGCTGCAGATGACCAGGAACCATACCACAAGGTTGACAGCGTCGGCAACTTCTTGAGCATCCGCTCTGACTTTCCCATCCACTGTGATCTCGAAAAGGAACTCCCGACTAATCGAAAGATAGAAAATTGCTCCGACGCCAATTGGGCCAAAGAACCCAACAAAACAAGCCTGTCGGAAGTGCTCAATCTGGTGAATGTACTTGTGCATGGCAAGTACTATCGGCAACCGACGAAAGATGAGAATAAGAACTCCCAGGAATATCAGGCGGTAAAGGGGGATTATGTTGTTATCCAAGAACGATGACCAAGGGCAAACTGCCCCAAACCACATAAAGACAGCTAAATTGAGTAACATATCGATAGTAGGTTGGAGAGAGTCGTCTAGGGTCTCAAGCCGGAACCAGTCACTAAAAAAAATAAGTATTTGGGTATTGCGAATTCTGCTCTGGAGACAACCCACTCCTGCGTGAAAACATTACCGGCAACGAAGCATGCAAGGAGGTCGTCAGTTCCAATGAGTCCGCAAGTTCCCACAATGAAGAGCTAGAGAGATCAGTAGATAGTTTCATTTTTGGACAGAGGAAAGCTCACAGCAAGCGCAATTGCAAAAACCAAAAAACTCTCACGGTCAACGTAACGCTTTTCCTCGGCCCAGTGAAGCAGCTTCCTTGAAAGCCAGCCAGTGAAGATGCCGTAAACAACACTTAGGATGATAGTATACACCCAGGTCTCATATGCCCACAACCCCATGGCCTTTCCTGCGCTACCACTATATCCCTCGCCACCCATGCCCAGATACTTTAGCAGGTAAATGCCAAAGAACAGAAACGGATAGCCAAGACCATCGTTGGCGCCAGACTCGGCCACAATGATTCGCTGGAGAGGACGCGGAACATGCTTATCGGCAAATTTACCTTTGACAATAGAGTTGGACAAGACGGGGTCTGTAGGCGTCACACACGCGCCGACAATCAAGGCATGGAGGAACTTGAACTTCGGTATCATAGCCCAAACGATCAGACTGCTGCACATCCACATAGCGACCATACCTGGGCCCAGCAAGAGTGAAAGGCTCCGCCATTCGATCTGAAGGTAGCGTTTAGGCAACTGTATACCAGCTAAGACCAATTGTACGCCAAGAACCAAGCGGGTAAAATGCAAGGTGATAGCGTCCAGATTCGATTGCGAATGCAGAGCATAATCATCGGGTCTAATAAAATTAGCTCCATGGGCGAGAAAGCAACCCCAGCAAGCAACGATATCACTGGTTTTGCATAAGCAATGTGAACACTATTGAACATTATTAAGCTAACTTACATGCCTCGGAAAGGTAAAATCGCTCTTTGCAGAGGTAAGAGACCAGCCCGAAAAGAGAGACAAAACCTCCAAGTGTCGCACAGACAATGTTGAAATTAATCAATGCAAGGGTCGGCATCTTGCTGTTACCGTGCACGCTACTCGTAGAATCACGCTCAAGAATGGCGAGTCTTGAGTCTCTTGGCCGCACTTAGTTTAAATGATTTGCTGGGTAGATACTCGGCATAGAATTTTGTTTATCCCAAGGTCTGCCAGGAAAATGGTACTGGCAGGGTGACAAGCCAATGTTATCGAATAATGACTTGGAAGTATAGAGCCAAGAATGCGTAGACCATATGGAAGAAGATGAATCGCCAAATAGACGGCCGAGTCATCCAAGTAAGCCAAGCCAAGGTAACTGGGAACCGATGGAGATAGACAGCGTTGCGGGGGGAAATTCTGCGAGCGGGAAATTCTGCGAAGGGGAATCGAGAGGACCCACCGAGAATCTTGGCGCTGTTAGTTCGCTGGAGCCCCTCAAGAGTACTCGGGTGATGAGAGCCTTAGGTCTCAGGCACCGTTTTGTTTTGTCCTTTCAGTATCTGAAATAGCATCGTTAACTTACAATTGACACAATCCTTTCGCTTCACGATATCGTTATTTTACTCTTCCGTTTCGCCGCCCACTACTTATGGTTACTTTGCCTTGCTCTGTTGTCTACACTTCGTACGCTACGTGCACCCTTGTGGGTGTTGTGTTTGTTGCAATCGACCCGCTTGCACTTCGCGGACTGCCATTGAGCGTATCCCATCTTTCACTAAGTACTCATTACGATAGTGGTTTTATGCTCGAACGAATGCCGTGGTATTCAAGCTGGCATATTGAGGGCTGCTATACGGAAGAAATATTGCCTAAACATTTCGTCACGTATATCGCAAATGATTCTCGGTACTACCACTTTCTCCACAATGCCTCCCTGAACCCTGTTGGCGGAGAGGCAATCCGGAGACATTTTTCTGATCTTACTTGCAAGGTTATTAAACAGCTCGAACTGCACTTGAACTTTCAATTGCTGATTTTGAAGCCGTAGTCACAAAGATATCAGGTCTAATAATCGGCTGTCGGTCAAAACTTCGCATTCCAGAGACCTTTTGCCATATCTATTTTGGGGGTCTACCGTTCATTGTAACGCCGATGATTTTGCCATATCACCGCTCGCTCAGTGAAACTTGAAGCTCATTGCTATGCCTACCATCCTCTGAGCGATCGCCTGGGAGAACAATAGCACGATCAAGCTTGTAAGGCAATCCACGATGACGACCTCTGATCATCATCACACAGATAACGAGCTTGCTGAAAACTGTGAACTCCCCAGAAAGAGATGTTGAGACGGTCGGGTAGCCTAGACTGAGTCCCACGTTCCCGCTATAGAAGAGTTAGCGAGGTTGAGAAGTCTTGAATCAAGTATGATCCTTACTATGCTGAAACGACTTCGAATAACACGGAGAACACGGAAAATGCCTAGGATTATCAGCTCTGCCAGCAAGCAATTAGTTACTACCCACTCACCGGAATAGATGTATCCGCAATTTTGCCAGCTTCAGCAATGCAGATACAAAAGCATCCGAGGAAGATGTACCACAAGTCAAAGCTGAGTTGGTTCTGGATGTGGTTAAGAATGTACGTTCGACCATCACCTTCGTCCATGCTTCTCTCAGAGCCGTAAATACCCAGCGTTTTTTCCTCGTAGACATTAGAGGCTCTGATGCTAATTGCGATAGGAAAAATTGCAATATACATCATAACGACTAAGCTAAATTGGACAGCTGGACTAACATCAGCTAAATTAAAAGAAGATGTTCCCGTATGGCGCGCTGATGCGGCTTGGAAAATAGCAGCAAGGACTCGGGGGCCGGGTGCCAAATTATTAACAGCTGGGTTATTCAGGTCCAGCACGATTATGAGAAGCACATCAACAGAATTCATAATGAATAGGATTCCGAAAAGTATCCATGTTGGCTTGCTCGGAAATAAGAGGGTGTAGCACCGTCGAGGGTGATCGAGCAGAAAGCGAAGCGGATCTTTGAGCGATGATTTCTCTGGACAAACCTTGTACATGATCCATATTACTAATCGGAGCAAACATGGATAGCAAGTGTTGCCGGCAAAGGCAAGGAAACTCATGAGAAGCATTGGAAATGTCGCATCCTGGAAAGAGATCATTGAATCTGGGGTCAAAGTAAAACCAAGGTTGTCGATCATAGTTTGAGAAGAGTAGAAACCCCTGCCACATAATGGAAATAAGCTATTCTGTCATAATAACACGAATACGAGGCCAACTTACCACCAAACGCTGCCCTGGCCACATTCAGCAAGATAGTCTCGATATTTTTGATCAGCATGGAGAATCCATCCCACCAGAGAGATCGCACCGAACAGATGCAGACCCAAAAAATACCCGGTGACAATTTTTAGCAAAAGCCTCAAGCTCCGGTATTCAATGCCTCCAAGCTGTTCCCTATCTTCAACGGAGAGGTTGTGGAACTGAGAGTTCCGGCCCACCGTAGCCCGAGAGAAAATTTTCGGTAGATAAAGCTGCTTATTGTTGTTTTGTGCCGTTACATGGGCCTTTCCATTATAGCCTGGAGAGCTTCCAAGAATGAAAACGGAGGTGATCACCCGTTCGAGTGTGTGGGTACGTGAATGGAGGCTTCTGGTAGATTGTCCATAACGTAGATTCTTCTCGGGTTTTCCTTTTATTGAACCCTTTAGTTGCTATCTCAAACCTCTGGATGTCTGCCACAAGCGGAGGCCTCACCTTCGTCTTCATCATCAATCGCTTCATTAATTTCGGCGAAAGAGGCCCCTAGAAAGCATTCATTAAAAATCGAAAATAGCTAGGAGCTAATTCAACATACCTTTATCCCGCTTCCACGGAGGTGGGATATACAGAGCGTTGTCATTGCCCCCAGTGGGCCGACCGGGCTCCGCGAACCGAATGGATTCCTTTCCTGTAGTCAGTTTTGGGTCCATAGAATCATCAGCTGTAGAATGCCTAGATTCCTGAGAAACCCTAACGTATGTGTCAATATCTGTATTGTCATTCTGCTGTGCGATGTTAAAACAAACCTCGACAACAAATCTCTCTCCCCAGCAGGACTGTTGGTCTCAGTCACCTTGTCCTTCCCTCCGTTTGTAGATTCATCGGCCGGGGCCTCATGAATGGGGGTGTTCAAATTTGGTAGGTGTTTGATTTGTGCCTCTTCATCCTGGCCTGGAAGGGTCTGTGATTTCAACAGATGCGGTGCTGCATTTGTCAAGTTAGCCATCAATTAGATGACTGAATGGGTCGTAGGCGCTCCTCACCTATCGCTTTGAGATGTTTTTCAAACCATCTGACCCGAAAGATGACGACAATTATGTTGATGAAGCCCAGATTTCCCAGAATCGGAATGAGATAGATGTAAACTTGTTGGTAGGTCTTTAACTCTTTGACGTCGACCCTTCCCATGATGCCGCTTAGCAAACTAGAAAGACTGGAGCCGAGCAAATCTCGCCACTCACGTATTCAGACCCGACTCCGTTGAGGCGCTAGCACCGAAAAAATAGGCATCAATGGCTTTGAGATTGCCGTAGGGGTAAATGATAACTAGGCTCAGAATGCTGAGAGTGATAATCCATGCGTCTACCAAAGCGGTTAGCGCAAGGTAGAATGTGTACGGAGTATGCACGAACAATGCAGGGAGAGAAAGTTTATTGGTGGCTTCCACATGGCGCAAAAATAGGGAACTTCAAGGGAAAAGTACTCGGGGGGGGGCTTGCGAATATCAATATATAACTCAGGCTTACCTGAATATTAAAACTGCCGCATATAACATCCAGCTGGACGATTCAACTCTGTGTGTGAGCGACTTGATTGGGCGAATCAGGTCAAGGGTTGAGCGCCACCGCTTGCAGCTTGAGGATCATCTTCACCACCGTCAGATGCCACCTTGCGACTACGCTCTAGCCATCCCCCCACAGCCAAGAGCCAATTTTGAATTTGGACAGCGAAAACTCAACTCAGGCGGTATCCATTCTCTGCACGAGCTTTCAAGACTATGCATTGTGGCCATCGGGCTGATTCAAAGGATAGTACTAGGCAAATAGCTTTGTCGCACAGGCTGTTTACTGCAAATATTCACCAACTCTCCATAGCGTTGCTGCGATTTAGGGAGTGATTTTTGGGCACTGGCCCAGCATAGCCCGCTTGCGCTTGAAATTTTCTATGAAGCTTGGCAGCCCGAGGCTAGGCTTGATCCGTCAATGCTACGCACGAACTTCCCGCTCCACGGTTCACAATGGTCCAGCAAAATCCCGCATACTGCATCTCATTGCAAAACTGAACTGTATATTAACTTTTAATTTTCCCGAAAACACAAGGAGGCTTTTCGTTTCCTTTCCCATAATTGACAGCAGGAGATGCCGGATGCTTCAAATAGTCCCACTACTTCTTCTGCCGTGATAGCTGTCATTTGTGTTGTGTTGGTTGCTGGGTTATGGTAAGCATTTGCCAAAACGATACCTCAGCCCGTGTCACTAAACACACTCTTCTATATACAAAGTTTCGCGGGGTTTGCTCAATGGATTCGTCACCAAGGAGGTCAAATAAGATCGTCTACACGGAATTATCCCGTATTGCCAATATATAGATTCACACGGCTACAGACAATTGAGGTTCAAAAGCAACCTCAACCACTGCCGACCGAGGATGATCTCAACAAATTCCTACCAAAAATCGATTTCAAAACATGGAAGAGTCATCAACTACGCACAAGGCACTGTCTTAATATCAAATCATTATATTATATAGGCCTTTACTAATGGTTAAAACAGAGCGAACTCAATGAAACTAGCGGCTGAGGATGTCCTAACCAGTCTCGGAATCTCTGCTCCAGCTCCCATCTCCCCAGCTAAAGAACCGGTACACTTTTCGCCAATAAAAAGTACCTTTGCTGAATTAGGAATGTCAGCTCCAGACGAATCGCGGAAAGCGGAGTCGCGTTTCAAGCTGACTCAATCTTCTGATAACACTGAAGTATATCTCGCCGCTGCGCAGCAAAAAACCACTCAGTCAGCCTCAGACATCATGTTTTCGAATTATTCTTGTGCTATATGCCTGTGTATTGTGGAAGATGGAGTTCATGTGCGCGGTCTTCCCTGTGGGCATGCGTTTCATGTTGATTGCGTTGACAAATGGCTACTCTGGCGCCGGCCATACTGCCCATTATGCAAAATGTCGTATCAGAAAAACCTAGGAGAGGCATAAAAAGCCATTGAGAGCTTATTCATCTCCCTGTGGTGGAGTTGCATGCCCGAGATTACCTTTTAGATCACATATGTGACCTTTCCCATTGTATATTTTAGATATCGAAGCTTACGTTTTATAATCGCTTATCTTTGTTCCTTTTGGGCCTTCTCAACACAGTGGACGAAGAAAGATGTGGAATCTTTTATTCGAATTTACGGAATAGGGCTTCTAATAACACTGAAAGAACGCTTCGGCTCCGCAAAGAACTCTTCAACCGGGTCAAGAACGAGAAAATGCCGAGTTACATACACTGTTTGACTCTCCTATCGGACTGCAATTGCTAAATCCTCTTTTTCATGGTGAAAGGGTGCATTAGTCATAGGCATGATCCTCATCAGTGCGAGCATCGTAAGAGGGGAAACGATATTTTGGCAATTTTATATTCCAAGGAGGTTCATTGGCCGGGTTTAAATTTCCCAACATACGATAGCTGAGTGCCGGAATTTTCTGAAGCAATTCATGAAACTTCACTTGAAGGTGTCAGCTGGATAGGCACCAAACGGCATACCGGACTAGCCATTCAAGAAGCTCACCGTGCGGAGGAAGGGTTGAGAACGCCAATAATAGACGGTCAATAACCGCTAGCTGCTCATTCAAATATTTGGGGGTTACCACATCTTTAACAACAGTCGTAAACTTTTCAAATGCTACGTTCTTGAGATCATCAACCAAATGTGTGTCACTGAATATGTAGAATCTCAGGCGGCATAGTAATGTGTGTGCTTGCAAATGATCATCTTCGCTTGCTTTATTTGGCCCGGTAGGCTCTGATTTAGGCCGAGACTTTTGATTGACTTCCATAGGTGTGAGGTCTAGTTCCGCATAATCGTCCCAGTATGCCCATTCGATGGTTTCGGACGTGCGACAGTATGATGGGTTGTTTCGGGAGGGTGTTCTGTAGGAACCGGAAGAAGTGACCGGGACCCTCTGCGTCAGGACTCTCGCCGATGCAAAGGCAAAATTCGATGGCGGCATAAACCATCTCAAGCAGACTATCTCTGTCTTGGGTCAAGCGATGAACAGCGGCGTGGCGGATGCTAGCGATGGAATGGCACAAGTTCTGAACAGTGGTGATGTTTGCACGGCATTTCTCAGACGAGATCTTCAATCGGTTCTTAGCTAAGAATTTGAAGAACTTATGCAGCTCCAGCACCTCGGGGCATGTCCAGCCAACAGCCAAAGGCTGTGGTAAAAGCCATTTTTGAACAAATTGGAAGGCGGAATGCTCGAGGTGGCGTTGCATGGTTTGGAGGATCATATGTTGCGCTCGAAAAGGGATAGGCACCAAAGGCAGTCCTAGCATGGGGAACAAAACCTCTATGATCTCTACCGATCGTGATTAGCGAAGGCATTCGGACCTCTAATTTTGACTTACCCTTAGCTTCTAGTCCCCGGCTCTGTTTCAAAAACGATTTCAAGGACCTTCGACAGTCAATTGTGGAACTTTTCAATTTTAAGAGGATCGCGAGGTCATTTACCGGTAGCTGATTGACTGTGGAGACCAGTTCTGGACAGCGGCGGAGTCTCTATTGGCGCCCGACAATATCATGTTCCGACGACGGACTCGGCGTCGACATCTCTTCATCAATGGTACCTCGGCCGGCTTGAGGGTGTGGGTACACGAGGTACTCTGGTCATCCTGTGCTGGCAAGTGAAATAAAGATTTGGGCGGCATGACGCGTTGCAGTGACTGCGACTCGGGGCGGAAAATATGTCGGCTAGGCTGAGGGAAATCATTTTTCTCTCACGGGGCGAGAACAAAAATTTTGCAGGCGAAAAATTCTGCGGATGGGCAAGCGACTTGCCAAGGCGAGTCTTCCATGGAACGACTCTACATATTAACAGCGTGAAAATCGTTTCACATCGTTGAGCAATGCTAAGACCCATGATTTGCGAATTGATTGGCTACGAGGCGAGCGAATATTGGCAGACTTCTGGAGCCACAAGAAATTAAGCTGCTACGGCGAGTAGCCCATGGCATGCCACTTCGGTCTACACCTCATACAAAACGGCGCTAAAGGCCGTTTCACCATTGTCAACAACGTTGATGAGGCAAATGATTTGTCACGCATCGCATCATGCCGACCACGGCTCCAGGTGGATCCATCCACTCCACCCGCTCTCCACTCCAAACTCTTGAAATTTCTTATTTCAACGTTGATAAACCGCCTCAACACCCACGAAATTAGGGTCGCCCGCTGCGAATTTGAAGTCAAAATCTCTGGGTCCGGCAATATGTACGCAAGTGGTCGCTGCCGAAACCCCTACTCAGAATAGCATAAAAGACGCTCTTTTCCTGTCGAAAAGAAAAGTAGGACTTTCCTCCTCACACTCCGGGCCTCGCAGCCTTGGGGTGTCTTTTGCAGGTAAGATCTGCGTTACCAAGTACTCTTCGCAGGACGGGCTCTGCGTGATCAAGTGTGCCTCGCGGGACGGGCTCCGCGTCATCAAGTTTGCCTCGCAGGAGACCGCTGCGATACCAAGTTCTCCGCAGGAGACCGCTGCGTCACCAAGTTCTCCGCAGGAGAGTGCTGCGTCAACAAGTTCTCCCTCGCAGCAATGAGCCCTGCGATTGTAAGAGTGCGCTTCCTCACAGCCAATGAGCCCTGTGTTGTATAAATGTGCTCCCTCACAGCCAATGAGCCCTGTGTTGTATAAATGCGCTCTCCTCACAGCCAATGAGCCCTGTGTTGTATAAATGTGCTCCCTCACAGCCTTGAGCCCTGTGATTGTATAATCTTGAGCTTCCATGCAGCCCTGAGCCCTGCGTTATCAAATTTGCGCTCATTAGGCGACCCGTGGCGCCGCGGTCCTCGTCCTGATCCTCTGGCGATTGCAGGCACCTCTTCGTGGTGTCAGAGACTAGTATTTGGGGGGGTCCTCGAAGAAGCCAAGACCTGCTCCAAAATCAATAGAATCAAGAATCATCCAGTATACTTTGTGTCCTGCCTTTCAGCCTGTTTGTAGATTTCAATAGCCATGTTACTGGTTCGCGTCAAGTTGTTCTGGAGCCTTGAATCACGCCCTGTCTTTCGACAATGGGCCTTTCTTCAACGTAGTGCGAAGTAGAGCACTGAGTCATCGGGCCAGTGGGGATCTCAGTGTATGATAGCTTAGTGGCCGATCTGGGCGACGCGCGCAATCCAAAGTAGTCTCCATTTGTGCGAATGCTTGTCTTTGCTGGCTACCAGTGGTAGCAAAGGTTGTCTCGACGTGGTGAGATGCGGGTTGTCGACACTGAGTGGGAAGTGTTGGCGTGCTGATGAAGGCGTGTTGATGTTGAGGACACATTGATGGTGAGGACCCGTTGATGGCGAGGGCTGGAGATGAGGGCCGGAGATGAGTGACGGTTGAGGATTGGTGATGATCATGATCGATGGGAACCAGTGAGTCAACATGTTGATTTGCGGCGCGGCGTAACTGCCGAGCGGTGAGGTGGCTGCCAACGGTGACTACCCATCGCCCTTACAGTTGGATCTTCGTTGGCTCACCAATGATGTACATAATAGATGATAGACGGTGAAACATGATGCAGTTCATTAACTGGAATCTGTCATTACACCAGATCGCAATGTAATTATCTGCGGATAGCTTTTCAGAAAAACTCGACTATGGGCTTGGAGGCGCGTGGTGCAATCAACATTGGTGACCACTTCAAAAATATGTTAAAGGGTACATTATGTACATCTATTGACGATAGACTGAATCATTATTTCACTCGGGTCGCTCTTCTACGTGGCTTGAGCTTCGTCGCATACTCTTTGGCGATACACTAATATTCGAAAACAAGTTCCCCTGCGGCGACTCGGGCTTTCTCTCACAGAAAGTAATTAAAACGATTTTTACAATGGAATGATCTAGCCATAAACTATCCTAGCAATGATTGGCTATCATCTCGAAGGTATATCCTATTCCGGTTTAGCTTAGTAACAGGTAAAACCCGAGAAACAACATGTGTGTGTCCAGAGGGGAAACTGTTTTTCGAATTTCTCTGTACACAGCTCTTGGGTAATGTCGATAAATGGTCATCCAATATTGCGCAATATATATCCTCAGCCGCGCACGTACATGGTAGCAGTAGAATTGGAAAAACCATCAGACTGTCAGCGATTCAGGGGTGTTCTGGCCCTCTTTTCGAATATCATATTCCATTATATGGCCAAATGAGAGACTGCTGTGGAGCTCGAAGGGGTAATGTAGCTGAGTACTGGTCGAGACTAATGGTGGCTATGATATTCTAAGAAGTTGCTGGATATAGTGAGGCAAACCTCGCGACGCCAGCGCATCTGCTCGCGTGGTCTAGTCGAATATGCCACGTTAGCTTCCTTAACGAACCGGGTTCGATTCCCGCAGGGCGCATCTGGATGACAATTCATCAGAAAGACGATTCTCGCTCATGCATCGTGTATACAACCCGCTGGTTTCCGGTTCGTCTCGCGTGTTTTTTCTTTTTTCTCTTGGGACTCGTGATATGAAACGCTCTCTGGAATACCGACCTAAGGCAGCACCCGGCGGTGGCGACAAGGCCGTGCACTGACGCGTCGCAGCGTCTCGCGTCGGGCACAAGTGACAGACCCACAATGGCAGAACATCACAGCTACGTCAGCTACGTCCGAGGTCAATAAGTACGACTTTTCTACCAGTTATCTCAAACCCACCTGGCATCCTTCGAGTAATAATTGAGCAATTGCATCCGCTGCGGCAATCGAACGGCCGTAATTCACGACCGTAATTCACGACGCTCGTCCGCTGGTGAATTCGTGCCGTTCGGGATGACATCATGGGGAGAGCATTCGACTGGCTTGCAGCCACCTTTGGGAGGGAAAAATTGTCTTCATATCAGCGGTTTGGCAAAAAGGTCAGTTATCCCCAACCTCCAGTCTTGAAAACGTACTCTTTCCCTTATTCAAGATATAGGCCACGGGGGATGCTTTGAATACCATCTGCATTGGCCACGGGCAAACAGACTGCCGTTGGAGATACTCGATCTAGCACCAATAGTCAGCAACTGGCGCAAGATGGGGGTTCGCTACTGACCGTTCTCGCGGCCTATATGAGAATCTCAATACCAGCCGCAATACGCTATCCCGATCGGACTTGAAGGAACAGCCGAAGCAGTACTGCATTTCACTGCTTCTCCATATCAGCAAGACTTCTGGTGTTTAAGGGTGGTACAGACTTGCCATTAATGTAGTTTGGGATCAGCGAAAGCCAACCAGAGATGTAGCGGGCTCAGCTCGATTACATCTGGAGGGCCCAGTGTCGTTTCGTATCGCTGCAAATGAATGTTGGCACTATCTGCGAATGCATAGCTGTTTCGTCTCTGCTTTTCGTGTGAGAGGTCAATCTTCAAACATGTTAGGACAAAGTTCCACTGAAAGAGATTCATGTCTGTCTGGGGCGAAGTAGTAGCTCATCTGAAAGCGACTGTTCTCATGGTGAGGGACATGGGATAGATAAAGTGCTGCGACCTGGCCTGTCGCATGCTGGGCTGCAATCAGGGCTTGGCAGAGCTGGCCTCAGGCTCGATTCATTGCTGGTTAATTTTACACCCGGAGAAAAGAAACCATGGTCTTTCTTGGTGGCCGTCGATGCTAGACTTCTCTTTGATGTCGGCGAATGCTGCAATGGCTCACTCGGTCTAGTATGGGAATAGCCATGGCTGCCGACGAGGCTTCGGATCGGAGGTAGGCAAGAGGCTCAGAGCCGTCGAAATCTGGAAATTTCTTAGTAAACTGACACCTAACCTTCAATCGGAAGGGCAATGCTGAAGAGACGAAAACACCTTGGAGACTTACCGTATGGCTTAGCAGATGGCATTAAGCCTTTCTGTGTTGGGCTCGCTAAATGCGCCAGGGGAATTGGCCATTTCTACCACATGTTCAGAAACAATAAAGGCGCAAGCGTAGTAATATTTCATGGCTTGGCCCATCAGGTTGTTAAAGCTGGTTTGATTTCGAAGACGAGGGGGACGAGGGGACATATCTCTGTCTGGTCGAAGCAATATTGACGCGCGGCCCTATGTCGAGAAAAATTCATCAGCGATATTTGTTTAGCACAGAGAGCCACGAACGGATAGCATTCGTACGGAGATTGAAATGTAGTACTGGGTGTTGGGAATGGACAGGGGCAAAGCACAATCGTGACTTACAAGACATTGAGCGACTCGCGATAGAAAGATTGCCATCCTACATAAAGGGTCGTCAGCGCATGATATCTGCCTTGAAAATTGCGGAATGTTTTGAAACTTACGTTCTC